CTAATTATGTAGTATATTTTCTGCATAGAAACGGAGGGAAAGTCAAGCCAATTATGCCAACTTTTGGACCCTCTTTCTACTTCTTGTATTTAGCATTCTAGGAGATCATTTTTTCTGTTTTGAGATACACCTCTCCCTTTATCATTTTACATGGCTCTATACCTGTAATTGTGTGCAGCACGTAAGGTGTAGAAAATCATTACGGTTTCAGAATTTCAGTTTGTTTTGAAAACAGTGTCTTTTCAGATCTTGATTTGCTCAGGTTCGCAATATCCCCCGTGGGCTGTGTAACTCCTATTTTGAATTCCTGTAGCAGACATAAGGTAAATAAGATGATTTTATTTCTTAACAAAAATTCAAAACAAAGGAAAACTTATATACAGTCTGGAAATCCCATGCCTCAGGACATTTGTAATAGAAGTTTGCCCAGTATTTACAGTGTCTGGAAAATCCTGGCAGATACTTAAATTTTACCAGCTGCAAGGTGAAATAAAACATTGAGTTTCTAGGCTGGAATTTGAGATACAAGTAAGTGTGGTAACACTGGTTCCCATTTGATTAGAAACTGATTCATGATTAAATATTTATTTGACAAATAAATATTTGAAAAAATGAATTCTGTTTGACGAATGCTGCTTGGTAGATTAAAATGGATTCTGGAAAGAGATGTGTTTAGTGCCACACAAGTCTGTGGAAGATGGCCTGCAGTGATTGGCATCATGTGAAACTGGTGCTTTCTGTCCTTTGGCTGCTTGGCCCTCTCTGCTGAGGTCTTTTTCTGTGTTAGTCTTGCCTTTTGCATGGGGGATTCTTGAAGGGAAACGCAGGAATTTGGGACTGTTCTGAATTCATTTTAAAATAGGTAGGGGTAGGCATTGTGCTATAGCTGGTTAGCCACCACTTGGGATGCTTGGGAAGCCGCTGCTGCACTTCCCATCTAGCTTCCTGCTGTGTGCCTGGGAAGTGGATGATGGCCCAGGTGCCCAGTCCCTGCCACCTGTGTGGAAGACCTGCATGGAGTTCCAGGCTCCTGGCTTCATCCTGTCTGTCTGTGCAGTTGGGGAGTTAACTATAGATTGGCAGATATTTGTCTCTCTATCTCTGTGCCTTTCAGTTGAATAAATAAATAAATATCAAAAAAAAAAAACCCACTAAGATTGTCATCTAATGTTGTAAAAAAATGAGTTGTAAAATGTTCACTGTTTTGTTTTGTCATTTATTTATTTAGTTGAGAGACAGAGAAAGAATTCCCGTCTGCTTGTTGACTCCCTAGATGACCTCAGTGGCTGTGGGCCTGACCAAAGCTGGGAGATAGGAACTCAATCCAGATCTCCCATGTGAGTGGCAGGATCCTGATTATTTGAGCCATCACCTGCTGCCTCCCCACATCTGCATTAGCAGGAAACTTGAGTCAATAACAGAACCAGATGTCAAACCCACGTACTCCAATATGGGTACAGGCATCTTAAGCTAGGTCAAATGCCCATCCACAAATGTTTTTATTTTTTAAATTCTGTATTTGCATTCCTTAGTATATGAGGCATACATCGATATAAATCAAGGAACTGTATTTGTGACTGTTGGTTAGAAAGGGTCATCAGAGAAAATGATTAGACATTATGTCACATTAGAATAAATGAGTTATAATAATAAATTTCCAGTGCAACAGTAAAAGAGCCAAAGAGCCAGTATAGGTTTTAAGTAATGCATGTTTGGATATCAGAACTCTGCTACAGAAACTGAGCTTGAAAATCACTCTTCTGGGAATGGAGGCACTTGGACACTAGGAATCTGCAGGTGGTGGAAAGGGCCTGTGGACATTGGGCAGACTTATCTCCCAGCCCCCTTTCAAAGTAAAGTCCTCCAGATACACTAGGGGGATGGTGAGATGGATGAGCAAGCAATTAATCTTGTAAAGGTTGCTCTGGCCTCTTTTCAGGTTTGAGTCTGATTATCTTGTGGTTGGAATGCTTGACTGACTTTGTGAATAACTTCAAGCCAAGCAACTCCCTTGCATTTCTTTTGCAAACACTCTCTTAAATGTTGCATTTGTAGTCATAACTTAGAATACTAAATTTTGAAGGAGAAAATGGGTATTCAGTCAGTACTCAGGTGGATTCTCTTGGTGACGGGTTATGACCATCAACATAGCTGTATGAGGGATACTTTACAAAGTTTGTGGGAAAATGGAGTTAAGAGAAGTTTCCATTTTTTTTTTTTTTTGCTGTAAAAAAAATTTGAAAACCATTCAATTTTTTTCCTAGAGCCCATTTTCCATACACTTTTTGACAACCCTTGCTGTGCATGGATTTCAAGTGTTTTTGTGACAAAATAAACATATTTGAATTTGGTTTTCCACTAACTTTGAAGTACCCTGGTCTTCCACCCTTGGACCACAGGAAAAACCAGTCAATGAGGCATGAGAAAAGCACACAGCATGAGGGAGAGACATGCAGCACCACCTGTGATGTCACTTTTGGGTTTCTGGAGGACAAATGGAGAGAACCACATAGTTAAGGGTTCCCCAGGCTGGAGTTGAAAAGCCAAATGGTTGCCATGGCATCCAGTGAAGCTCATGAGGTGGAACAACTGGCTGAGATCAAGAGCAACAATGAAAGCAGTGTCTGGCTGGATGGAAGAAGGCAGGGGCAGTTACACAGAAAGCCGGGTTTCTGGGAACAAGGCTCAGAGGAAGCCATCCATTTGTGATGGGACGACTTTTTCTGTAGCCAGGCACCGAGCAGCAGCAGGAACCCGGGATCGCCTGGGTCTGACTGCAGCTCTTCAGGCCTTTGTAGCCTACGCTCTTTATGGCCTTGTTTTGAACAGATTGTGTGTGCAGCATCAAAGGTATGAGACATCTTGTTTTGTAACTTGTTGAAGTCTGCCAGTTCAGTGGGGCCAATTTTCAGATAAGCAGGGGGTGCTAATTACCAGCCCCGTCTAAATTTAGAGGAAGTTTCAGAGCTTTTCAAAACCTATTCAGATTACAGGCCTCATTTAATCTGCTCAAGCAGAAATTACAGTAGTGACTTCTGGAGGAGCGCAGGCCTCAGAGCGTGACAGTCTGGAAGGTCTGGCTGCAGAAATGTTACTGTTGCTAACAGAAGTGTAGTTCACTTTCACATTCACAATACCCCCCTGACATCATTAAAAAATAAAAAAGTAAGACATTAGAAAGCTGCCTTGGAACGGCTAAGTGGTTTGGACGCCCAGTGCTAATTACAGCAGGAGGGTGATGAAGGTGGGTGTGTGCAGACTCTCACTTGAAATCACCAGCGGACAGAGACTCTGGCCACATGTTCCCCGGCGCTTGAGCAGATGTAACATTGAGGAAGATGCAGCCCTGCTGCCTTGGTGCACCTGTGCAGTCTGGAGGAGACAACCTAGGGCTAAGATAATCTAGAACAGAGACAGGTATATTTAAACACCACTCACCTATGTGAGCAAACTGCTGTTCCCAGGCCCAGCCCAGCTGTCAGAGTGTGGGCTGTTAGCACTTTGCAGGCGTTGTTGTATGAATTCCCTCCCACCCTTTGTCAGGCCATGTGGTCTGGCTTGGAGAGGTTAGTTTTTAGCACACATTATTTCAAGGATCCAGCCAGCTCACCTTTCTGCCCCAAACACTGTGGTGATGATTACTTTGAGCTTCTCTGTCTTGAATTGTCTGGGTCCCTCCACCTTCCTTTATCTAAGCCTCCTGGCATTTGTGTAGCTTGAACAGTCATGAAGAAAAGACCTCAGCTTGCTTTAGAGCCAGCCCTTGCAGTGGGCCAAGAGGCTTAGCTTGTCTTATGGTCCCCAGTTTTCATTTCTTCCTGCGGGTAGTTGGGCTCAGAAAACTCCCATGTGAGAGCCAGCCACTTGGTTGTTTGGGAACGAAAGCCCATGGCCTTAAAAATTGTGCTATAAAATACTGGCTGCCTGTTGCACTCAATGTGGCCCAGCTTAAAGATCTTCCCCAACCCCTTCTGGTTTGAATTGTGGCAGAGAAAGGTAGCCTAATTGTCTGTTGGCCTTGGATACCCCCCCTTAGTTCTCAAATATCTCTCAGAAATTGGGGTTATCTGGGCTTTGTGAAAGGAGGTTTTCGCACAACTCATTCAGCATTGTTCAAGGCAGTAACACATCACTGAACAAATTGCCCCCTTGCATATGCTAATCCTGCACTTAAAAGAACTCATTGTAACATGTTCTGATGCTTTAGCCTGAGGGGAGATGGGAATTGAAGGGATGTCAGATCATGTCATGTGACCCCAAAATATCTAAAATGCCTGTTTTCTTTGGGTCAGCAGTTTGTACTGGGCATATGCGAATGAAAGTATCCTGTGTAGTTGGAGGAAAAGATTAGTCCTTGTTCCTGCTTTTGTGTGTGGGAGCTGGCTTGGCTGTTGAAGATTCTCTGGCTGAAATTCCCGCTTTGGGTCTTAAATTTCAGTGCTTTTGGCGAGGAACACCAAATCTGATTTTCAACAATAAATTAAAAGAATTCAAAAGAGTTCTTTCATTGTTGCTGTGGAAAAATGTGATTTGCCTATTAGGGAGCCATGCTGCTAATCCCACCTGCTTCCTATATGCCTGTTTAGAGTGGTTCCCATCGATTCTTAAAGCTGCAGAATATGTCTATTAGAGTAATCGCAAGATTGGCTCCTTGGCTGTCCACATTCCCGACCAGGAAGTTGCAAGTGGGAGAAGAAAAGCACACCTGCAAACACACGGCAGGTTCCTCTTTCGCCAGTGGTAAATAGGGCAGAAGCAAATAGGGCCTGAAGCATCCATCAGGGTTTGGAAGGTTCGATTGCAAAGTCAGAGTTCCCCTTTTAAGTGTGTAAAGCTCTTTAAACGTTTGCCATCAAAGCCTTTAGATGAGATGAATTAGGTGGAATGAAAGGCTGTGGAGAGATCACCTTTCTAAAACAGTACTCAACATCCAGGTGGGGTTTTCATGTGTACAAAGAGGCCTGGGGAAGAAATCTGATTAATTTTTTTTTGTCTTGCAGAGTAATTCCCTCTTGGTCCCAGATGGTCTAAGAGGCACAGATAAACGCAGAAATGGGCCTGAATTTTCCAATGATATCAAAAAAAGGAAGGTGGATGATAAGGACTCCAGCCACTATGTAAGTAAATAAAGGACCTGAAATAGACATTGTTTGCTTACGGCTCACCTTCATGTGTCCAAGTGTACTCTGCGATCTTAGTGATAATTCCACATCCCTTAAAGTAATACATTAAAGGGGATAGGCTGTAACATTGTGGGCTGTTAGTTCCCTTTAGGACTCTAAGTTATGCTTCTCCTGGGCTTAGTATTGCATTTCACACTTTCTGCCTTAGGGACTCATCAGAGGGGCTGTGAAAATGCACCGTCGGCTTCATGGGCTGTGCAGCCACACAGAGCCTGCTCCCAGAAGAGCCCACCCCGTTATCTTTGAATTCTCAGTTTTTGAAGCATGGGCACTGCAAATGTAGCAGCCATTACTGCTAACAAAAAACGGCCTTTTTGGTGTCCCTAATTCTAACACTATGTCCAGGCTCATCTTAGGGGCAGAGTTTATCTTCTTCCACAAAGAGCACTTCAGGCAGAGGTATCCAGTTCTGTCCCTGCGGTTGAGGCCACTCTAGTGGTGTTGGAGGAAGGACTCTTGACAGATCCAGTTGAAACCACATTCAGAAGGAGAGCAACCCAAGTCAGATGGTCTTGGCTCTAGTCTCATTGTAGCTGGCATATGACTTAGAACTGGTTTGTGTGGGCCTGAGGGTTTCAGGAAGCTGCACTCTTAGGAGCAGTATCAGAGAAGCTCGTGCTACGGTGCAGCAGGTTAAGCCACCACCTGCAGCACCAGCATCCCATATGGGCACCAGTGCAATCCCTGCTGCTCCACTTCCCATCCAGCTCACTGCTAATGGCCTGGGAAAAGCAGGAGAAGATGGCCCACATCCTTGGGCCCCTGCCACCTATTTGGGAGACCCAGAAGAAGCTCCTGGCTTCAGTCTGGCCCAGCGCCGCCTGGTCATTGTGACTGTTTTGGGAGTGAGCCAGTGGATGAAAGATTCTCTCTCTCTGTCTCTTTTTCTCTGTACCTTTGCCTTTCAAATATATAAATAAATGTTAAAAAGGAAAAAAATGAAAGAATCAATATCTAAGTAGAATGCTGAATTGGGCCACTTCCCTGTTGCCCGTAGAAGAAGAGGTATCTACCAAGCAGTAGTAGAGGTAACAGCTATACATGTAATGTGGACAGTTAAATATGAGGTCTCTGTCTCCTGTGGGCTCATTCAAGCCCATGACTAACAGCAGGTAACAGTTTTTTGATCATCAACTCGAGTCAGTGCCAGGTACTCTGTGCTTCTATATGAATTGTTCCATTTAACTCTTAAGATAGCCTGATGAGTTTGACACCATCATCTCTATACTGTTGCATGGAGTTTTTGAGTGACTTGTGGTAGGTCATAGTTAGTGGAGCCTAGAGGCAGCCCTGCCCCAGAATCCACACTAAGATTGAATCCATGCTAAGATTTTTTTCTTTTCTTAATTAGTTACTTGAGAGACAGTGATTGATAGTGATGGAGGAGTGGAGGGAAAAGGGAGGCAGAGATGGAGAGAGAGAGGTGTCCTATCTGCTGGTTCATTCCCCAGATGCCCACAAGGCTGGGGACTCCATCCAGGTCTCCCATTTGGTTGGAAGGAACCCTGTTAGCAGTCCTGGAGGGGAGGGCAGTTGCCAGAATGAGTTTCGTGGGTTCTTTTCCTCAGCTTAGTATAGAAATAGAAAGCTGAGAAACAGAATGCAAAGAAGCAGATAATTTTATTTGATTGATAGGCGACAGAAAAAGCATCTGGCCCAAGAGGAGAGCAGGCGGAGTGCCCAAACGTGACAGTGGATTTCAGGAAGTGCCCAGGGTTTTTAAGATATTACTGTTTACACTGGGTCATTCTATGGGGGTGCCCATTGGACAGGGGTTTTACATATGGTATGTTAATTGGCTTTGGGCTCTGGATATAGTGGGGTGTCTCTTGGAGACAGCCCATCTCATTAGGGGCTCAGCTCCCTCCCTCTGTTAGCTCTGGGTGGAAGATTGCAACTAACTTGAAGGCATGATTTATTTTATTTATTTTTTAAAAATATTTATTTTATTTATTTGAAAGAGTTAGAGAGAGAGATAGAGACAGAGAGAGAGGTCTTCCATCTGCTAGTTCACTTCCCAGATGGCTGCAACAGCCGGATCTGCACCAATCCGAAGCCAGGGGCCAGGAGCTTCTTCCGGGTCTCCCATGGGATGCAGGGGCCCAAGCACTTGGGCCATCTTCTACTGCTTTCCCAGGCCATAGCAGAGAGCTGGATTGGAAGAGGAGCAGCCGGGACTAGTACCGGTGCCCATATAGGATGCCAGCGCTTCGGGTTGGGGCTTTAACCCGCTGTGCTACAGTGCCGGCCCGGAAGGCATGATTTAAAACCACAGGATCATACATGCAGCACAAGAAGCTATTTGTGAGAGAGATGCCAGCTAGTCTGGAGACACGCTTTCCAGGCACAGCTGACAGCCTGTTTGTGAGGGACATTCTACCTACATCTGAGTGGCCCACAGACCTTCGGCCACACTGGATGGCCTCAAACCCCACCGCTGGAGTCAGGAACCAGAGGTGGGGATCAGCACCAGGTACTCCACTGTGGGATGGGAGTGCCCTAAGAAGCAGGTTTCACTAGGCAGAATGGCAGCTCCCATGCTGCTGTTCTTGAGCCCAGAGAATCAGAATTTTGCCAGAGATCCTGAAAGTGGCCCACACTTTGTGTGATGGTTTAGTGTCATACTAAAAAAAGCGAAGTTGTTTGTTCTCCTCACCCCAACCGAAGCCTTTTTAGCGCATATCCTTCCTGTCTGTTGCCCAGAGCTGATGTCCTATGCATGTGCTTCCATTTGTGAGATTAAATGTTCATGAGCAAGTCCATGGCATGCAGCAATTTGGGAATTTACTGACAACACAATTCTAAATTCTTCTCCTTGAAGTTCATGTGTATCCTAAGTTATTTAGCAGTGAACAATCTGAAATCCATAGTTGGCCTATGGTTTTATAACTTGCTTGTACCAGGCATGTCAAATTGCATAAGCGATTGGGGACTATGTATTTTGAGTATGTTGGAGAAACTTGGACACAAGCCTCATTCCTTAGATCTTCGATGTTGGGAGATAACTGCACAATTGTCCAGTGCACAGCTAAGATTTAATTTAGAGAGGACTTAAGACTCATTTCAGAGTTCCATTGTAACAAAGTATTGTTGATTACTTTTTTGCCAATTTAGTCTATACAGACTGTGGTAATATTTTTACTTTTTTTTTTTTCCTGAAAGGAAATCCTTTGTTTATAATGTTACGCTACCACCCCTATCACCTGAGAGCATTTGTGCTTTTCTGAAAGAAAACAGATTTTCTTCTTTATTACATAAAACTATTTGTTTCAAATGGAATTTTGGCTTCCTCAGGCTTCCTCATTGGTTGTAATTTTATGTTGTTACTAGTGAATTGCTAATGTCTAACAATGACTAAAGTATTTTTTCCCCTAAAGATTTATTTATTTATTTGAAAGGCAAGGTTACAGAGAAGGAGGGAGAGACAGAGAGTGAGATCTTCCGTCCGTTGGTTCACGCCCAAAATGGCCACATCAGCTGGGGCTGGGCCAGGCTGAAGCCAGGAGCTTTATGCAGATCTCCTGCATGAGTGCAGGGGCCCAAGAACTGGAGTCATCCTCAGCTGATTTCCCAGGCACATTAGCAGGGAACTGAATCAGAAGTGGAGTAGCCAGGACACAAACAGGCACCTACATGGGATACCGGTGCTGCAGGCAGTGTTTAATCTGCTGCAACACAGCGCCAGCCCCTGAAGTATATCTTTTAACAATATTAAAGAAAGTAAATTGGGTCTCACATATGTAGTACTCTGCATATAGTTACAAAAAGATGTTTATGACTTGAATTTAGAGTTCAGGGTAAACTTTCTAGTCTGGATTTGCTGGCCCACAGGGGCCAATGTATGTGAATAATACCAATATTTGTATGTTCTAATTACTTATATATTCTAATAAAGATTTATTTTGGGGGCTGGCATTTTGGTACAGCAGGTTAATCAGTGATGCTGGAAACTCATGTAGAAGTTCAGGTTTGAGTCTCAGCTGTGATCCTGCTCCTTGCTAATGTGCCCAAGAAGGAATGGGAAGGAGGCCCAAGGACTTGGGCCCTTGCCATCCATGTGGAGACCGGGATGGAGCTTTTGGCTCCTGGCTTTGGCCTGGCCCAGACCTGACTGTTGCGATCATCTGGGGAGTGAACCAGCAGGTGAAAAAGACCTCTCTTTCTCTGCCTCTCCATGTTTCTTTTGTCACTGTGCCTTTTAAATCAATCAGTCAATCTTTTTAAGAAAGATTTATTATTTGAAAGGCAGAGTGACAGAGGGTGGGCATTGAGGTGAGAGGGAGAGGTCCTTCATCCACTGGTTTACTCTCCAAATGCCCATTACAGCTGAGACTAGGGCAAGGCCAAAGCCAGGAGCCAGGAGCTCCACCCAAGTCTCCTACGTGAGTGGCAGGAACCTAAATACGTGGGCCATCTTCTGTTGCTTTTCCAGGCATATTAACAGGAAACTGATTTGGAAATGCAGAGTAGCTGGAACTTGAACCAGGCACTCCTACATGGAACATGGGTATCTGTGGCGACTAAACCTGCTGCTCCACAACACCCACCCCTGTTTGCACATTCTTCATTGATCGTGATATCAGAAAACGTTAAATCATGCCCTAGAGACCTAGTTCTCAAGAATTTGGTCCCCTTGAGATGTCCCATGTTTCTTATAAGTTTTGCTTTGCACTGGGAAAGTAACTTTTCCAGTCTGCTTTATCCTTAATGGAGGAGCCATTAAATCATTAAATCAAACAGCTTTTCTGTTTTTTTTTTTTTTTCAGTGCAACTTGTAGTTTCCTCTGATTTTATGGCTTTTTGAACAGACAGTAAGAGCCCTGTTGCAGTAATGCGAGTGACCTCCAAATATTGCCATCTATCTCCCTTCTGTCTCTCCTAGATTATTCTAAGCTGATTGCCAAAGAGGTTTATCCTTCTCATGAGGTTAGATCTTGATTCCTTATTCTGTCCAGCAGCTAGCTTTATTGTTTTTAATTTTCTTTCTTTCTTTTTAAAATATAACTAGTAACCCCACAGGAAAATGGTTTACATCAATTTGTCTTTGCAGTTATGGCTTGTCTTTGAGTACCAGATTGGCTAGCTGTTTTCAGAGGTGTGACACATGTAAAACACAATGTCAAGAAATCATGTACTTAATTTGAAATCAAATGGAAAAACAGGTGTATGGGTTTCAGATTGTATGAATGATTTCAGATTATTGGTGGATTTGGCTATTACAAACATTTGTTGAGCCTTTATAGTGTGCCAACTGTTTGCACTTTGCAATGCCCTGTGAGCAGGCAGTTTCTTTTTGGATAGCTGGCTTCCTACTGTAACTGAATTCCTGCATGGGATGAAAGCCGCCCACAGGCAAGTCCCAAGTAATTATTTTAGCCTCTCTGCTACCAAAAAGTACAGCACAAAATGTAACTAGATCTCTCACCCATTCTTAGTCTTTGCTAAATTACTTTAAAATTCCTTTTTCCCTCCCAGGACAGTGATGGTGACAAAAGTGATGACAACTTAGTTGTGGATGTGTCTAATGAGGTAACCACTCTTTTCATCAAACTTTATCTATAAAATGACTTGAATAGCATTGTGAGAAAATTCCAGTAGTGAATGAGTCGTGGAGAGCCTGTGATTGTTCCTGTGTATGAAGTTATATCAGTCTAACTGACATGAGCTTTTATTTCCTTTTTTTAAAAAAAGAATAAAAACAAAAACCATTTCCCTAGCCAACTTAGATTCTCGGTGTGGGTGTCTGGCTCTTCTTTCCTTCTAGTACCCTTTAGGGAAAGTTTGGGAGCCGCGGAGGGGCATGATGGCTTGTGGGGTTGTTTTCTGCGTGGTGTGTTCCTGGAGTGTTTGCTGACACCCTCTTGTTCACTGTAACCAGTGTTGGGCGTGTCGTACACACCAAACTGGAGGACTTTGAGCGTTCCCCTCCACTTTGGAGAATCAGTGTAGAAGTGGAGAGTGTGCGGGGTCAATGTCTATCTATCATAAGCTAACTCATGACAACTTTTGATGATACTTCTTGAGGACCCTTCCTCTCCCCGAGCAAGTCCTGCCCATTCACCCCGGGAAAATGGAATCGACAAAAACCGCCTGCTAAAGAAAGATGCCTCAAGTAGCCCGGCATCCACGGCCTCCTCTGGAAGCTCCACTTCTTTGAAATCCAAAGAAATGAGCTTGGTAGGTAGCAAAGACTAACCCTTGCCTGCTCTCCAGTATGTTTTTCTTAGACAAGGTGACCCTGATGTATTTGAAATATGGGGGTTTGCTGTTTGAGGTTTTCATCTTTAGGTCTGTGAAAATGAAAGTCCTCCTACTTGCCATTCCTCATGTCCATCCAATGTGTGCTTTTCCCTTCTCCATTGTCTGTTTTAGACCACGATGGGAGTGGGTGACAGGCTTGTATTGTCATTGCCTCCTTTACTCTGGGAATATGTCCTTGGCACAAAGTCTCTGTTACTTCTCGATTGGCAAATAGTTCAGACGTCCTAGGTCCTAAGAAGCCCTTGTTTTGTTAAGCTCATCTTTTTTTTTTTTTTTTTTTTTTTTTTTGACAGGCAGAGTGGACAGTGAGAGAGAGAGACAGAGAGAAAGGTCTTCCTTTGCCGTTGGTTCACCCTCCAATGGCCGCCACGGCTGGCGCGCTGCGGCCGGCGCACTGCGCTGATCCGATGGCAGGAGCCAGGTACTTATCCTGGTCTCCCATGGGGTGCAGGGCCCAAGCACTTGGGCCATCCTCCACTGCACTCCCGGGCCACAGCAGAGAGCTGGCCTGGAAGAGGGGCAACCGGGACAGAATCCGGCGCCCCGACCGGGACTAGAACCCGGTGTGCCGGCGCCGCTAGGCGGAGGATTAGCCTATTGAGCCGCGGCGCCGGCCTTTTGTTAAGCTCATCATTTACCTGTGGGTCCTGCCCTGAGAGTAAAAACTCTCAGGATGATGATGAGCATACCCTGCGGAAGCCTGGAACTGGGGGTGGGCTGGGTAGGGGTGCATCAGAGCCTGTTTGTGCAATCATTTATTCAGCCAACTTTGTGGGATAAATACTACATGCTGTCATTGACATGTGGAAGCAAAAGTTGATGTCAAAGAAGTAGACAATAGAAGAGTGGTTAGCAGAGCCTGAGCAGCATGGGGATGTGGAGGGAGAGGAGATGGTTAATAGATACAAGGGTACAGTTGGGTAGGAGGAATAACTTCTAATGTTCTGTAGCACAGTGGGATAATTATGGTTGGCAACAATTAAGTGAATAATTCAGATTAGCTGATAGAGGATTTTGAATGTTCTCAACACAGAGAAATGCTATTTTTGTGTGGCCACGGATATGCCAGTCACCCTGATTTCATCTTTGCATACTGTATACTTGTACCGCAGTGCCACACTGCATCCCATAAATGTGTGCAGTCATTATGTGTCAATTAAATGAGCAGGCTCTGTAGAGTGCATCATCTCTGAGCTCTCACGCTAATACTCCCTAACCAGCAGCCTTGCTGCTATAGCACCATTATCCCGGTTCAGTGATGGGGAGGAGTGCCTGTGTACCTTGCCAAAATCTACAGCCAGAGAGCTATCATCTCTGTGGCCCATGCTGTCACCCATAGAACTGCTTTGACTGTTGATTTTTTTGAACATAAAATAATCTTCAGTGGGCTGATTGTTGATGGATGAGAAAGGCTGAGAGGCACCCAAAAGGTGCCCTGTGACCCTCTCGAAGTCCTCTGGCTGGTGTTGAGTCCCTCACTTGTCCTGGTGGGTCCAAGTAGGGCAGAGGGGGATGACACTTAACTGTGAGGGGATCGTCTCTTTAGGTCTCTGAGCTGCTGGTTTGCTTCTCATACAGCGGCCCTGCTGTCTCTGATCATTAGCGCCAATCCCAGGGCTCCCTAAAGGTGAGATTAGGAAAGAGGCCTTCCCCAGAGACATTCCTGGCAGCCGGGACGCATGTTTCCAAGCACTGGGAGCCGTTCTTTGGGTGGTCATCCTCCTGACTTGGCACAGACCCAAAGTCCACACGCCTGATGGAAAATACTTTCTAAAATAAAATCTGCGGGGGAAGAAGTATGGTCATGTTTTGTGTCTCTTGCTCGAGTTTTAATTCTGGCAGGAAGAGGAAAGGTCAACATTTCCCGCTCACAAGTTAATGCTGTCAACATTGTGCGGATTTATGAAAATTGGCCGAGGGAGTAGCTAGAAGGTGCCCAGTGTCCCAGCTGCTGTTGTGATAAATTGTGTAATATGGCTTGGATTAAAAATAATACTCATTTAATTTGTTTAATGATACCAGCATGAAAAAGCCAGCACGCCTGTTCTGAAATCCAGCACGCCGACGCCACGGAGCGACATGCCAACGCCGGGCACCAGCGCCACTCCAGGACTCCGTCCAGGCCTTGGCAAGCCTCCAGCCATGGAGCCCCTTGTCAACCAAGCGGGTAGAGCGTTGCCTCTTCTTATGCTGGGTTTAGTTTCTCCCTCTCCTGGCTTGGTTTCGTTGTTGTCTGTTAATCTCTGGAGGCTGTGTCCCCACAAATAGAAAAGGCACTTAGGGCCACCTTCATTCCCATGTCTGAAAATGGTAAGAAATGCTCGTCCTTGGTCTTGTGCAGAGGCACCCTGGTTGGTCTCTGGTGGTTTGCTCTCAGATTTCCTTTGTCTTCCAAGAAGTCCAAATTGGAGAGACATCAGTAACGTTTCTGATAATTATTCCGAACAGAAGCTCCTTACCAAGCTCTCATTAAATGTCTCACTTTGCTGATAATAACTACAACAGCCAGTGTGTCTGGCCCATGTGTATTCCTGCCGATGGCACTGGCTGCTTTTGCATTTGGTGTATCCTGCAGAGACTCCTGGGTCTCTCCTGTCTTAGAAGCAGAGAGGGCTTTGCTAAGACTTGTAGCCCATGAATAAACCTGTCACTTTGAACTCCATCTTCCTCACTGGGAAAGGAAGAAAGCAACAGGCTGGCCCAAAGGAAAACAGGCACCAGGATATGCCTCCTAAACCCTGCTTTGGTTTACATAAATGCAGGATTTGGTTTTCAATTGGAATTGGTACCAGGGAATGGAAAGTTCGGACTGAAGGAGAAATCTTGGATTTTATCGAGAAAATCTTCTTTTGAGATTAAGTCAGGTAAACACTTAGTGCCTGTGGCTTGGTTTGCCCTCTGTAAATTGGGTGCAATAATGCTGCTTAATTCCCCTGGTTCCTCACTGGGTCCACATACACCAATGAGAAAATGTGTGGGGTGTGCATCCTGTCCACGGGTGTCTTGTCTTTGCTGGAGATGAATTCGACCCTGGGGAAAATGGACCCAGTGTATAAATTGAAGGTGATTTCCCCCTCTCAGAGGCCATTCCTCTTGCTCCTTTTCCCTAATGAATGGCACTGACAAATGACACTGGAATCTCAGGGCAGGATCTACCACAGCAGGTCCCTTGAGTCACACGTGGCTTTTGTTTCCTTTCAGCAGCCGGTTTGAGGACGCCCCTGGCGGTGCCTGGCCCGTACCCTGCTCCCTTCGGGATGGTGCCCCATGCCGGCATGAACGGCGAGCTGACCAGCCCCGGGGCAGCTTACGCCAGTTTACACAACATGTCTCCACAGATGAGTGCTGCAGCCGCCGCGGCCGCTGTGGTGGCCTACGGGCGCTCCCCCATGGTAGGCTGCTGTGGGGTGCCATGGGTGGGGTGGACCAGCTGTTTGTTTCCCTGAGCGTGCCCAGGCCCAGGCTGCACACATGCTCCGTGGGCAGGTGCCGTGGCACCACTCACCTTAAGAACAAAGCCACCCAGTGTTGCAGCCTCACGTCTGGGCTGTCCCCTCGTCAAGCCGATATCTCATGCTGCTTCGTTGAGTTGGGCCCAAACACCTTTTGTTTTTCTGTTTTTGTGGATGAAAAAACAGCCGTGTTTAGCTCCTTCAGTAGTTTGAGGGACACCTGGTTTTCTCCCACCAAAGCTGGTTTTTTATTCAAAGGCGATGAAATGACTCAAGTGGCTCACAGAAGCCTTTTACATTTTTTGTCTTGAGCTCTTTTTTTTCTTTCTCTCCTCATTTTAAACCTTAGGAGAAAATATTTGAGAAGCCACAGCTTTCTCTTCTCATGCCTGTATTGTATTATACTTTAAACTCCGTAAAGTGGCTTACATTTGAGAAGTGCTCTCTGGACAACAGATGGAAAGACAGACAGACTGTGAAACCACAGGGGGCCGGAGGGGTGGGCCTTCCCTTGTCTTCCTTCTGCCACAGTGCACCTGGCCCACTTTTTGACCAAGAAGTTACAAAACCGCATTTGAAGACTAAAATTGTGTAACCATTGATTGCATCAGGTAAAGAGACTGTGTTATCACCCACAGTCCTGTTTCTCTTGACTATTTGAACTGTGTTGCAGATTATTCTCTCCTTTTGCTTCTTCAAACAGCATTACCACTGATAGTTTAAGATCCTATTAAAGTTCATTGTCTTTCCCTTGTGTTGTACTTATGGGAAAGACTATGCACTGCAGGGTAGAGAAGTCAGTAAGATGGGCTTGAGGACCCACATACTGTCAGGAAGGTGCACAAAACGGGAATCCAGAAGAAAAAGGAGAGGGTGGGGATCTGTGTATGAGTCCTTGAGCACTGGTTTAGATCAGGATGTTTGTCCTGGAGACATATGGAGGCTTTTAAAAAAAGTATTTAAAAAACAGGTGTTGATAGTGATAAATGCAATACTTGTACTTTGTAATGGGTCACAGTGCAATGTTTTAAAACACACAGGGTGAACCAAACCAAGCAACTAGACTTTCCATTTCCTTCACCAGCTGTCTGTCTTCCAATTCTTGTACAGTATGTGACGCATTACTGTGAACTACTGTCACACCACTAGGCTGAGGACTAATATGACATGCTATTTCCATCTGGCTGTGTTTCAGCACCCAGTATTTAAGACATTTTTAATGATCAGAACTAGGGGAAGCTACTGGCACTTAGGAGGTCGAGACCTCCGATACTGGTAGACATTCTTCAATGTTCATCACGTCAAGATAGCCTCAGGAGAGAAAAAAACAGGCTGGTCCTGAGTATCTGTGGTGCCATACTTGAGGAATCACTTGGACTTTTTTTCTTTTTTTTGAAAGGCAGAGGGAGAGATAGAAAGATCTTCTATCTGCTGGCTCACTCCTCAAATGGCTGAAACGGCTGGGGCTTGGCCAGAGTGAGGCCAGGAACCTAGAATTCCAACTGGGTCTCCCATGTGGGTGACAGGGACTGAAGCACTTGGGTCATCCTCTGCTGTCTTCCCAGGATGTTAGCAGGGAGCTGGATCCAGAGGGAGCAGCCGGGACTCCAGCTGGCACTGTGATGTGCGATGCCGGTGTCTCAGTTGGCAGCTTGACTGACCGCAGCCTGAGCTGGCCCCTAGACCACATATTGTTCTCTGAACTTACTTAGGCAAAGCAAAACATCTTCAGCCTGGCGTGGGGAGCTGGTTCTCAGCACACACATAGATCACACACTTCTTTGCCTCCCCCAGAAGATGTGTATCTTGTAGTATTTAGGGCTGTTTATGTTACTTCTGGTGGTTTTTTTTTTTTTTTTTTTTTTTTTAACGCTAGGACACATTGCTGTTCTGGTTTATATTTCCGGTGTATGAGTTTCTAATGACAAGCCTTTATTGATGTTCCCAGAATGCATGCCCTGCACAGACCGAGTCAGGCCTGCCTTGTTTTTGTTTCCAGGTTGGCTTTGATCCGCCCCCTCACATGAGAGTCCCCACCATCCCTCCAAACCTGGCGGGAATCCCCGGGGGAAAACCGTAAGTACCTCTGGGCGTGACTTGTCGTTGGTTTCAAAGGCAGTGTCTCAGTCGTGGGGGTTGGCAGACCAGAATCCCAGAGGGAGCACGAGCTTGGGCGTTTCCAAGGAGATGCTGGTGGCTTTTCCTGAGTTGGGTTAGCTCTTTCTATAAATAGGCAGCGTGGAGGTGTCCCACTCTGTCGGCTCACTGCAGGTGATCTTGTGCGTTCAGGTATTGAGAGGGAAGCTGCTGGACAAGAGGTCCAGGAGAGGAAAGGGCTGGCGGTGGGGGGGCCTCCTTGCCTGACCTTGCGTCAGAGAGCGGCTCTGCCTGCCAGGTGGCTGGAGGGTGGCCACCAGGGATGTTCAGAGCTGTACTCTGGGCAGTCAGTTGTCACAAACCGTTCAGATGGTGGAGATCTGATTGTGTCATCCTGGTACCTGGGCTCAGTGCCACCTTTTCCTTGTTTTGGTGGAAATGAGTTGTTTAAAGGGTGGATTCTACTGGCTGCCAGCCTCCCGGGTTGACCCCGCATATTGTTTCGGTAGTGTCTTAACACCCTGAGAAGTTTCGAACTATCAAAAGCAAAGTGGCTTTGTGGGGAAGCAGCACAGATGGATTAGAGGGCACACAAGCATTCAGAATTTGACAAAAACCCAGTTGGTTATTCTTCCTGGGTCGCTTTAAAAAATCATTTGCTTTTCTATAATTTGAGGAATTAGAAGCTTGCTTGATTTCAAAGAATTCCTAAAAGTCTCAGGCATTATATAAAGCGAATTTGAAATAGAGGGTCTGTTTCGTCTTTTCCTAAGATAGAAAATGGCAGAAGGCTTTTTCGAATATTCTTGACTTTCCAAATTGAGGTACTGATGGTACACGTCGTAGGCCCACAGCGTATCTTTGTCATACCCCAGGCCTTCATGTGGTTGCTTCCAGCTTTTGTCTGTGTGTCACTTTGGGTATTACATTAGTGTATTAGGTGACATCTAGACATGTAGACCCAGTGGAGAGCAGTATTGGGGTCAGGGACAGTTGTTGCTAAATATTCACTTATCTAATGGGTCTCTTCCTGACACGTGCTTGTGAGGTGCTACTTAGGCACTATAGGTGTTTTCTTGGGAATGGCTCCTACTTTCTGCCTGGGGTATCCTGAGGGCATGTACAGGTATTGTTTTATCTGTGGTTGCATTGTAGCTGTTGTGTGCTCTCCTGATTGATGACAGATAATGAGCAAATAGGAAAGTCACAGTAAGAAGCAATATTAATAGTAACTGATACTTCTTTTGGGGAACAACAGGCAAAAACAGCTATGTTTAACTGACCTTTACGGAGAGCTGGGTTCAAGAGCCAGAGGTTTGGCGTTCTGTCTGACCGTCAGGAGCCCAACTCAAGGGTGATGTGGGGGACAGTCAGGAAGTGGTGGACAGAGCAGTAGATGACACTGTTGGTGTAGAAGGCTGGTGTGCACTAGCGGGGAGCTGGATCAGAAGTGGCACAGCCGGGACTTGAACCGGTGCCCATATGAGATACCAGTGTTGCAGGTCCGGTGCCCATATGAGATACCAGTGTTGCAGGTGACGGCTTTACCCACTGTGCTGCAGCATCCATCCCGGTCCATTAATTTTTATGAGAGGACTGTGGGGAGCAACTCGGACTAGACTAAGTTACTCGATTAAGACTTATTCTATGCATCTGCTCTCCCACAATATGGCGCTGGGAGAGGAGGAAACAGCTTCTACACAGCTGCCTCCAGTTCAACCAATAAACAGCAGGACCTGCTCCTGATTGGAGGAGAGCAGCGTACTCGGAGTGTGGGTAGCAGAGTTGGGATTGGTGGAAGAGGACTATAAAGGAGGAGAGCGACAACATGCACCAGGAACATCTAAGGGGAACACGTGTGCAGCCCCCGAGAGAGCCAGCCGGCGGTGTGCTGCTCCCCCGCGGAAGTGGGGAAAGTGGCAGGGGGGCCCGCCCCTCCACGGAGGTGGAGGGACAGCAGCCAACCCGGGAAGGACCAGCAGCAAACTCGGGGAGGGCCGAGCAGACAAAAGAACAGCGCGGGGTCCTGTGTCGTTCCTCCACGAAGAGGGGGAGTGACAAGGACTTGCTGTTTTCATCATTGAGAAAAGTGATAACGCCTGAGGCAATGCTTCTCAAACCACTGATGGTGTTTTCCCATCAAAGATCAGTTCTTCTGAAATGTACAATAAATATGTCCTGATTTTTGTTTATGGCTTTTTTTTTCTTTTGGTTACAATGTTAAGTTTTTAAGGGCTTGTCTTTCTGACTGCTCATGCCCCTGCAGACTGTGCAGCCCTGTGTCTGGGTAAGGGGAACAGGTGCAGGTCACACATGTTTGGGCAGGGTGAGTAGAAGGCGGGAAGGCTGTCTGCAGCTTTGGAGTGGGAACAGTGTGGCAGTTTTTTTGCCGATGCTCAGCGTGCCCCAGTAAAGTGGTGTGACTGGGGTTAAACTTGTGATAAGCGCTGTAGCAGCAGAGCAGTGGGTGGCAGGCAGAATGGAAAGAAGTGACCAGAACTAGGCTGAGTGAGACTTGTTGGGGTGAGGCACATGCAGGAGGAGATGAATGCATCAGCACCCAGGGGCAGGAGGGGTGGCCACTGCACGTAGTGGGGACAGCATGCATGGTGCACAGAGCGGAGCGAGAGCAAGCATGAGGATTCATATGCAGGGCGACAAGTGCTTCCTAAGAGGATTAGAGCCAGAAAAGTTCAGCTGGGGCTGGTGGTACCTTGAAGTCTCCTTAATATAAAGTCCCCTTGGTATAAAGGGACTGTCGTTCATGTCTACTTCGGTAGCCTTGCCAAGCAACTCTGCCACTGACCACAAGTGCCTGGAGATGAGCGCCCGCTGCTGTCCCCAGCAGTGCATTTTCTGTGGCTCTGTGCATGCTCTACCAGCCTGGAGCTGAAATCTGTCTCTCAGGAGCTCTTACCATCCATCTTGGTTCCTTCCCACCCCAGACCCCACAGCACACTGCTCATCCATCATCCCCTGGGCAGCTCTTAAGATATTCAGAGACCTTCCTTTCACCACAAGGCTTCTCTCTGGTTGAATCTGTCCATTGCTTTGGCCCTATGTTGTGTGGCAGGAGGCCAGGTTCCTGCATCACCTGCTCACTGTGATCTAGATGGTCGCCTGCCTGCCATCCTTGCAGAGCTGAGACCTACAGCCTAGGCATGTGGAGGAGGGGAGCACACAGCCTAGTAATGATCTGTAGGGAAGGTAAACTTCTTTGCAGGAAATAGATACCCAAAGAAATGGCCAGAGCAGACAGCTTATATGCTGTTCTCTGCCTGCTACAGGGAGGGCACCTTCTTGTGGGAAATTTTATAACTTGTGCTTATGCAGAAAACCCCCCACATCTCTCATTTCTCAAATGTCTTCAGTGCAAAACCATCTACACGCCAAAGGGGCATATCAGCAGTGATTGTGGGGAGAACACATCCTGAACTCCTTCAGAGCCCTCTCTCATGGCTGCCTTGTGGGTGAAGCTCTGCAGATGCCTGCCTGTCCGCGCGGTCTCTCCAGGAGCATCTTGTAATGCCTGTGCTACTTTCTCACAGATTGCCTGGGAATTGTCATTGTGCATACATGTCTCGTTCCTCCGCCTTCCTCCCCAGCAGAGCTGTGGTTTCTGATCTGCCCTTGTCCCCTGGAGCAGAGACACCCAGTAAACAAGTGCTCGGCTGAACTGGGGGGAGAGGGGTCCCCGTGACTCATCCTCTTCAAAAGGAGGCTCATATTTTTGCATCTTGAGTTAAGTAGTGTTGGTTTATAAGAACTCACTCTTTGTTTTCAAGCCCTCAAGGCTAGATTTAATTGGTATTGTTCAGTCAGCTTAACTCGAATTCAGTTTTAGTTTTAGGAAATGGATTCCCCTGAGCTCTGTGGAGAGCACCGGTAGAGAAATGTGGGAGTTCGGTTTAGACGTTTCTCTGGCCCCAGAGCACTTCTTTCCTCCCCAGGACATCTGGGGGCTGTTCTCTACTTGCCTTGAATCATAGCACCTAGAGGTCAGTAATAACTCAGACTAATAATAGTTTGGCTGAAGATTCTAGGTTAGTTCCAGGTTCCTTCACCCTGTGTTTTAATGCCAGACATGTAATTCAGAAACCTTCTACCCACTTGTTTAGTGTTTAAATAAATCTTTAAAGTACCTTTTTGTATTTAGAGCCCAAAGGGAAAAGAAAATCTTAACCGCATTTGGGATAAAATTGCCTCTTAGGAAAACATGTTCTGCAGCGGTGACTGGAAACCATCCCAGGCTTCTGGCCAAGAGGCCGCTTCATGGCCGGGGCTCCCCCTTCTTTCCGCCTTTTCTGTCCCTGGTCTTTCATCCTGTCCAGATTCCCCGGCTGGTTTAATTAGTGGGTTTGGAAATGAACGCAGCCCCCCTTGTTACGTAGTAGATGAATTAGGGTTCTCCAGAGAAACGGCCAGTCAGGTGCAGGAGCCTGAGGGATCAGTTCACATCTTACAAAGACTGAGAAGCCCCCCGGTCTACCATCTATCTACAAGCTGGAGGCCCAGGAAGGCTGGTCATGTGGCTCCATCTGAGTCCAAGGCCTGAGGACCAGGAGTAGCCACCATGTCCAGAGAGTAGGAGATGTTGGTATCTCAGTCAGGCAAACAGCAACCTTACACCTTCCTCCACCTTTTTAATGCTTAGGCCCTCGGGATTGGATGATGCTCATCATTGAGGGGCAGATCTTCTTACTCTATCTGCTGATTCAAATTCTTTAACACTCTCCTAGATATACCTAGGAACGGTGTTTCAGCAGCTATCTGGGCACCCCTTCGCTCAGCTGACCCATGGAAATAACCATCACAATGGTATCTGGGAGCTTGCTTGTTTATTTGCATCATTAATTGCTGAAAACGTCAGGCCTACTCAATGCCTCATTATGCCTTGTGGCTTTTAGTTTAATTTTTTTTTTTTTTTTTAAAGATCTATTTATTGGAAAGGTAGAGTTACAGAGAGGCAGAGGCAGAGA